TTTTCTTTTCCTTTCCTTCCTTTCCTTTTATCCACTCTTCGTCCCTTCCTTCCTGCTTTTCTTTTCTCTCTTTTAGATCATTGCAAGGATCATCTTAAAACAACTTTTTTTTTAAAATATTCCAGATGCAGGCTTTCTTCACAGCCAAGAGTTAATATACATTTCTTGAGCAAAAAAAGGTGACTATATTGGGGCTTAACATACTCCTTTACCCATAAAAAGAAAGCAATTGACCAAGATAATATTGCTCTTGAAGTACTAGGTATACATTGTAATGTTAAAAAAGGAATGGGGTTCATCAGGAAAAGCTTCTTAGAAGGAGTAGACCAAAGTATTAATTCTAATGCAGAGAGATATACAGGATGTTAATAGGGGGTATTGGGGAGAATTTCATAAGAAAGCGACTTCAGCAACAATGTTCTGGATGCAGACAGTGCAGACCAAATTGTGTGATAATATGGAACATTTGTCTCAACTCAGAAGGCAGTCAGGATAAGATTTAGAAAAGTGTAATACTGGCCTTTTGGGGGAACACAGACCAGAGAAACCCATTTCAGGCTAGAAACAATGAAAACATAGTGTCAATGAACTTTAAATGGTTAACATTAAATTTTTAGTGAACCTTTTCTACCTAATGGGAAAAGTCACATTTTGGTTTAAGAACTCTAGCTTTTAGAAATCTACATACCATCGGACTTTTCTCATCTGATTTTAGAGCAATGGTTGTAATGTTCACCATGGTCACAGAAATATTTTCTTAAATCTTTTCTTGAATAACTAACGACAGAAACCAGACACTGGAATCAATATTAGTGATGGTGTCATACTGAGTTTATGACCCATGATCAGCCAAATCTCGGTTACCCACAGTTGAATATTCTAGAAGAAAGGAGGGCACAAATGTATATTTTATGGTCCATCTACTTCTCATAAGTTCATCATATCGTAGCATGACTCGCATCTTTGGATTTTAGAGTTGGTAGATATGAACTTCTTTATGTTCTGGGCTACATTCCTATATATGTAACATTTATCCAACTTGTTAAAGTGTATTTGTGATTTTGCTTATCTTTTTAAAACCATATTTTCTCAGCTCCTTCTTTCTGCATCTTGAACAACATGATTTGCTTTCACTGATTCATATGATACCAGGACAAATTTAGCATTGGGGTTTTTATATGTCTAAGCAGGTTTGCATAGATCTATGAATGTATTGATAGAAAAAAATAAACCAGCTGTATTTAGGGTTAGAATATTAAGTTCACCAGCAAGAAATAAGCCAAGAATGATGATGCTTTTTAAGAATTTTTCAGGGTTTCCTATGAATTAATATCTACATGTAGATATTAGCAATGAGATATAACACACTGCTTTCTGATGATATTTTAAACTTTAACCCAGTGTATATGGATTGTAAATAAATAAGAATTTTTTGAAAAAAAAAGTGATTTTTTTGGTGTCAAATACAGCCTTCCTCACTATCCGAACTCCTGCCTCCTCAGCTGATTACAGAATATCATTCAATCAGAGAGTTTCCTAACTATTTATTCTCAGTCCTGATAACCAAATATACGTTTTATTGATGTAAGTATTTCAACCTCCCAGAGTATTTTTGTTGTTAAAAGTTGCTTCTTTCAATTAAATGCGCTTGCTTGGCATTCATTCCTCTAACGTCATCGCCAGATGTATGTTTTAAGGTAAGGTGAATGCTGACTTGTTCCCATTCCTACTCTGAGAGTGTTGAAAGCAGTGGTCCTGGTCCGAGCTTCCCTGGACCATTATAGAACTCAGCAGAAGAGTCTGGGTGACGGAGGTCAAGCCTTTGGGTCTTACAGCACTTGTGTCATCACCGCCATAATGACTGTTGTTTAATTCAGCACCTGCACTGGACTCAGCACGTTTCCCCCACTGTCCCCTGCAGTGCTACAGGAGACCCGATTATGTCTATTGTAATTACTCGTGGTTCATGGTTGACGGTGCCAGCGTCCTGTCGCTGATCAAACATCCTTCACTAAGCTAGGATGTTTGATTTAACGTTTAGGTCTCTCCCAGTCTAACCCCAGCTTATCTTTCCAAAGCTATTTTACACTCCTCCTTCTTCCAAACTCTCATCTCATAAAATAAAGGCTACTTACAGGTCCATAAAAATATAAGTAGTCTTAGCTCTACAATTTTTACTATCTGGTCCATTCTACTTAAAATGTTTCCCCTCCCCAGGGTGATGGCCTGTCCAAGCCTGGCCCTTCTTTCTGGCCCCAGCCAGAGTTCCCACTTCTAGGGGCTGTCTCACCCGAGTTCACAGGCATCTCACTCTCCAAGGACCTGTGCACAGATTGCCCACACCCCTCATTGCGTATTGAACCAACGCTTTCTCGTATAGTTACATTTTCTCTTTGTACCTCGTCCCCCAAAAAGACAATAAGCCTGTGATATTAGTGATAGCATTTTCTATCTGTTTACATCATTATGACCTGGTAGAGTGTTTTGCATGTGGCATATGAATAATTAAATTTGTTAGTAACTATGATGATAACTATAACCTAATTTCCATTTACATAGAAGTGCAGTTTTTAGCCTTTTAGATAGTAACTAAGGAGCCTAAAAATGGGACTGTATCAATTTTCAACAGTATTATTCCAAAAGAATAGCTAAGTAGTAGACTATTCCAGAAATCTAAGAAAATATTTCAGATTTTTAAAACTGGCAACTCAAAACTTCTCACTCTCACCATCCACCTTCTAAACTCTGCAATACAGCCTCCACTGCTTACTATCAGAACAGATGTATGCATGTATGCTCTTCTTCAAATGCCATAACCCGTGAAAGTAAATTTTAGCTTTTTATTGAAATTCTGAGGTGCTATTAGTATCATTTTCTCATTTACTTGTCAATTTTTTTTAATCAAATGCTTATTATTTGTTGAGCAATTAGGCTTCTTGTGTTGACCTGAATACACATAGCCCTTTGCAGGAACCACATTTCAGTGCTAATAACAACTTTCATGTCACACATCAGACCCTGTTATTTTGAAAAATGACATGACCAAAACTGGGGTCCTTTAATCTGAACTTTTTGAATGCTTACTAAGAGAGATGAATAAAAATATTGACACAACATTTTTGTCACTATTCTAATCTGAACAAATAATTATGAAAGTTTTCTTAAGATATGAAAGTTTTCAAATCTTACCATTCTGAGCCCATTTTGTGTGTTTTTCGATAAAAATCCACCCAGAATATACAAGATTTGGCTTGTGGTTTTCTGCCTTGTTTTGTAGTACCGAGGTTAGTTTTTTGTCTCAAAAGCCCTTACTATTTTGAAATCAAAATTATAAATATGTGAGAATTAAATAATGTATTGGTTATGCATGGAGCAGATCACACTCAGGAATTCCTGTTGAATTTAATAGGAGGCTTCCAGGAGACCTTTTTATTGTCTGTTTTACAACCAAGAATTTATATTTTGTGGTTAAAATAATATACACCTTGTTAGCTGATAGTCATTGGTGCCAACTCAATACCAACAGGAACTCCCAGTTTGGGATGTAGTGAAGAAGGAAACTCTATGCAGTGCAAACAGCTCATGGTAATACAGAGCAGCTGTGAACCATCACTGCCCTGGAACAGCTCTATAGTGGTCCAGCCAAGAAACACAATCTTCATTGTTCCATGGAAAGTGTGCTCTCCTACCTAGAGGAGAACTGGGTTATATAGACAGAAATCCCTGCTCCTGATCCCTGATTGGTCAGAATAGAGCTGCTCCTATAGGTCAGAACTGCTGATTGAATGGGGAAAGCCTCAGTCCTATTGGTTGAAATAGGACTATAGTAGCTACTTTATAAGGGCTGGTTCCAGTGACAGAAGCACAGTGCAGGCAGGCAGTTTGGTGGCCCAGAGGAAGGCAGTCTGGTGGTGCAGAGGTGCAGAGCTGCTCCCTGGAGTGTGGTTTGCCTGAGGGACACCTGTGCAGAAATGGCTGCTAGGTTCTGCTTTATGTTTTTGTTTTTATTTAAGCCTAGGTAGCCACTAGGAGCCCTTCTTAGTCCTCAGGGTTCACAACATGCACATACACGCAGACTTGTTTAAATGTCTACAAGAAGTAAATGAGAATATAAGATTATATCATCTAGTTAATGATTGCAGGTTGAAGATATGCATTTACATTTTATTAAGAATTTTTTGACTTGTTGAGTAGTAAGTTGTATTTGATGCATTCCTTTTCCCCATTTTCTTCCTAGAAGACATTGGTCCATGTTTGTATATGTGATTATAAGCTCTCTATGCCTTTTATTGCATTTACAGCTAAACATGTACATGCTGAACTTTGTCTAATGAGCTGTTGACTTATTTTCTCCACCCTGCAAGAGTTTGCTAATGATATTTCTTAAGAAATGTTTTGACTAATTGTATAGTACAAGTAGACAAGATTGAAAAGACCCTGAAAAAAATAGTAGGAATGGAAAGGGAAAAAAGGTAGTATTATGTTTTATTAAGTAAAGGTCTTACAAATGTTAGTATTAGTGACAACGTTATATTAACTTTTGCTAAATTGAAGTACAACTTTAATATTTAAAATGGGCAAAAGGTGAATATTCTGATGGAGAGGAAAATACATTTAAAATAAGATGATCTTTAAAAAAGTAAATAAAAGAAGATGATCTTCACTTAACAAAAGAGTTAAAATTACAACCTTTGAAATACAAGTCATAAGAAGTAAGAACTCTTCAGGTTTACAATTAATGCAAGCCACTGATAATTTTACTAATAATTTTTTTATAGTGTAGTCAGGTAAACTGTCATAAGTAGAATTCATAGGTACATCATTTTCAGGGAGAACTGATAGTTTTACTTTAGATGTTTCTTTTCTACCTATAAAATACAGTAAGTAAGGATGGGGGGGGAACCCACATTTCCAAATGGGAAACTCAAAACAAGTCAGTCCGAATAAGCTAACTAGCATTTATGAAGTAATTCTCATCCTTATAAATTGCCTTCTTGCAGGAAACAGACCTTATCCTGACTTTTAATATTTCAATGCACCGATCTTGGTGGATGGAGAATGGACCAGGATGTATGGTGACATCAGTGACACCCGCCCCAGACTGGGCCCCAGAAGACCACCGCTACATCACGGTCTCGGGGTGTGTTCTGGAGTACCAGTACATAGAAGTGGCTCATAGTTCCCTCCAGATTGTCCTCGCAGTAAGTGTTGACAGACAACCACTCTTTTTAGTGCTTCCGGAATTGTTTTATTTCTGTGCAATCTCAGTGCACGGCAAATGGACTACGCAGGTAACACATGGCTATTTGTTTTTTCCTAATTAATGCCACTTTTAATAGGGATTTTGAGGTTAAGCCTTGCCCTGGACTGAGTATGCTGATTCTTTTCAGCAATGATTACAAAGATGTTGGCATCTTCAGCATTCTACATAAGAAATCCAGCCAGTTTAGGTTTGATTATTTGGCTTTTGGTAGACTTGCAAAGATTCTGAAGGGAAGATCAGAGAGTTTTCGCTAGGAACGTGCTGCAACACCCAAATGTATAAGATTTCAGTAGGTGTTCTTCCTGTCAGCCTGGGCTTCTTTCTGTGTGTACTCTTAGTCCCGAAATGCCTTCTCCATTTGCCCTATCTTCTTCCTAGATTTCCCCCAAGTACCATCCATCATCTTTTATCCCTCCCCCACTTTCAAAACAATTCAGCTTTTCTTTGAATTGAATTCTAGTTCTCGGACAATTATGCCCTCTTTTTGCACAGTATTATACTGGTAAAGAACTCTCCTAAGTCCTTTCTATTGTGTATTTGTAGAACATATTTGCATAACACATACCTATGTTACATAAAACATATTATTTTATATTGTATCACTATGGCAAAGAGATAAATAAGATAAATAACATACACTTTTCTCAGGAAAAACTTTTACTAAGGCTAAATGAATAATTTGTGGGATTTATAAAATTAAGTCAACTGTATTATACATGTCTCTATTTATTTATTACATATCTATAGGTGCCGGTCCACATATATTTTTCTCTGATTCCATGTAGATCTGCAATTAATGTGCATAGTCTTAAAATTGTTAATAACAAATAATGCAAGTAGGATATGCTTTTTACCTTTTTTTTCAGTTAATTACTTTGGGAATGATGTTATCTCACAATTCTTAATTAACAAGACAGAGTTCTGGGTAGAATGGTATCAATTAGTTTACATAAAATTCTTTTGGAATTTAAAAAAGCTATGTGAGCATGTGTGTATTCAATTATATAACTAACAAAGATAGATATATATACATATATATATATAACTAATATATTCACTTAATAGATTTTTTAAGTGAAGTATATACAGATATATACAATACACATATATTTTCACTTATATATGCGTTATTATATATTTATTATAATAGGCTAAGTATGCTGTGCTAGTAAGCACTTTCCAAATCTGTTATGACTGAAAGCCACAAAAGTGTATTCTTCTGAGTCAGCAGGAGGTTCTACCATTACTGTCACTAAGGAAAGGAGGCGGTGGAGCAGCCGCCATGAGTCATCATGGGTTGCCATGCCAGAGAGCAAGCTAGATCTGGAGCCAGAAAATGCTCCTCTGTGGGAGGAGAAGCTCATTGCTCACAGTTCATTGTCCAGAACCCGTCCCACAGTCCCACCCAGTCACAAAATGGCCAGGAAGAAGGGAGAACTATAAATACTTAGAAACCAGCATAAATCATTTCCACATTTTGAATTATGTTCTTAGCTCACGTGTTGAGTGAATTCCCTGGAAAAGTCCAACCTGAGACACTTCTTAATAAACAAACCTTTCTAGAATGTTTGAACTCTAACACTGTTCATTTTGATTATCTTGAAATAAAGATTAGTTAGATTTGATGGGATGGAAGTAGTCATTTCATTACTTAAAATCCATTCAGATGAAGTATTCATTTTCACATGGGATAAGTAAAATATTTCTGGTTTCAGGAGACAGATAAAACACCTTCATAAACGTGAGGGAGAGAGGTTGTACATAAAATATCCCTTCAACTGGCACTTCCTTTTGTTCTGTACCCAAGCATTTTGGAAAGCTTCCATTTATGTGTCAAGGATGCTATAAAGATAGAGTTTATATGCATGGATAGTTATATTTTAGAGAGTTAGTTGAAATAATGTGTGTATGTATAGTTCACAGATTTATTAAACCCCACGTAAAATTTTGGCAGATGTGTAATTTTCTAAAAAATACATTTGGACATGGGAGCATATGTTGAGGTTGACATACTGCCTAAAGAAAAAGTATTTTTACCCTAAGTAAAAACCATCTGTACAGGCAAAGTGGCTACAGTACAAAGACGATGGATGGAGTGGCCCTCAGAGCAGATATAACTGATATTTCAAGCTACTGGCTCTGAATTCTGTCTACATTGCCCCCAACAGAGTGGAGAGAAGTCATTTGCACAAGCTATCACAGGATGTGGCATTTTTACCTCTCCCCTTTCCACCTCTTCTTCTGTCCAGGGGGCATCTTCTTTTGCAATGCCAACTGTGGATCACCTGAGAGTAATTTAGTAACAGTGTACCCAAGCCAATTGCTTGGAGAAGTTTCAACAACCTTTCTGTCTTTGGGCTTGCTTTTGTCTAGTCAGCCTTGGGCTGACCGTATCTGTTGTGCAGAAAATTTAGCAGATCTTCATTCGTTTTAGAATGAAAATCAAAATGGGGCTTATCTTGACCTAGTGAATGGATTCCAACTACATTTTCCTGTATTCATTCTGATCACTCTGCTGTCATGATGAAGAAACAAAGTGATTTGTGTTACCCAAATCATGCCCCTGACAACCTACTGTTCAGTTCAGGCCAGCCCCGTGAACACTGCCTGAGTGCTTGGCCTCTGCCAGCATCCAGGAAAACAAATGACAGGATCCCTGACTTTGAGGATGTCACAGTCAAAAATGGGGTGAGGTTGCTAAGGATTCAAACCAGGTGCACTTTTCAAGGATGTGATAGACAGAAAATACAGTTCGTGCATTTTTGTGGCATAATCTTGGCTTCTGAGTTCCAGCCTGCTTTTTGTAAAGTCAGCTAAACTCACACTCTTCTCATTGTTTTCACCAGCCTTTGAACCTGCTGTCTCTTCCAGGATGTCTGGCTTAGATCTGCTTTCATAGACTGCTGCTCTTCCAGCGATTGCTCTTGATTAACTCCACATCTCTCCAGTGCCTTTTCTCCACCTTCACTAAGCCTTTCTTTCACAGATTTCTGACCCCTGGCACGCCTGTCACCCCGTTGTTCGGTTTTCTGCCAATCAACTCCTAGCTGATTTTGAAATTAGCATTCACAAAGCCCACAATTTGCATTGCACATACATAAGATATTTCTTGTCTACAGCCAAAGGAAGAGGAGTTATCCGCATAATTGGGAAGAGGGGTTATTAATCACACAGCTTCCAGCGGAGCAGAAAGCACTGCCAGGCACCGTAATGACAAGCCAGGTGTGAGACTGGGAGCTCTCTCCTCCTCCAGCAGCATTGTCTTCTAGTTAGTATCAGACGTCACATTCAAAAGGGGTGCAGGTGTGCACAGCTTCAATAAAACCAAAAATAAAAACAACCCACACTTATAAAATAGATCAAATAAATATGTATGGGGAGAGCCAGGAAGGAAACCGACTAGAAGGATGGTGGTGTGCACCCTACAAAAATTAAGCCGATTTCTTCAAATGTGTGACTGCAACAGCGTGGTTTACAAAACATGTTCACAGGAATTGAATCCTTTAACGTGCAACAGTCCCGTGAGGGCAGCAGAACAGGTGAAAAGCCTTCCCCAAGATTTCTAAGCTGGTAAATAGGGAGGATGGACATCCTGACCTAGGTTTTTCTCTGCCACCAACAATAGGAAACGTCTCAACCTGTATGCCAGCACTAGCTGATGCGTAATGGATCCCTAAAGCCCCCCAAATTCTAGCTCGTTGGTGGCAACGCATGACATGATTGATTAGCTATGTCTGCTATGAGTGAGGGGAATGGAGTTGTTTGTGCCTCATATTTGGTATGCACACATTAGACCTCACTTCCTGTAACCAACACAATGAAAAGGGAGGGTGTTTTACAAAGAAATGTAAGTAAATGAAGCTTTCACGAAAAACATTTATTACAATAATGGAAGTTGCTTTATATTTTAAAATATATGTTAAGATTCCAAATAATTTATTAGAAAACAGAAACAAAAACAAATGTCCAGTCCCTCTTTTCTCTAGCTACCTTCTCAGGACCAATACCTCTACATTTAATATAAACTTCTCCAACCAAAATTGCTGGAAGTGTTTCCCTTTACTTCCTTGATTTCTTTAACTTCTGACACACTTCTACGTTCTTATTGTTTAATCAGATTGATTATTTAAATATATTTTATTGATTTTAAAGAGGAAAGGAGAGGGAGAGAGAGAGACATGCATCAATGATGACAGAAAATAATTGATTGGCTGCCTCCTGCACATCCCCTACTGGGGATGGAGCCTACAACCCAGGCATGTGCCCTTGGCCAGAATCAAACCTGGGACCCTTCGGTCCGCAGGCCAACGCTCTATCCATTGAGCCAAACCAGCTAGGGCTAATCAGATTGATTATTAGCAGTTTTAGGAGATGAGCAGAGGATATTGATAAAAATGTAAATAAGATAACTATTTCCCACAGATATTAAACTTGGCTTAGAAACCATATATGAATTAGCAGGGAAGTCATAGAAGACTTTAGAATAGGTTCCAATACCTGGTGCTGTCCACAGATTCACTGCCAAGTTCATCCTTCAGTGATATCTATTCCCTATTCAGAAAAATGTGTACCTTGTAGTTGTTATAAAATTGTGGAAATCCTTGTTCAACAGACTGTGGTAAAAAAAATTTTAAAGATAAAATGTGTATCTTCAAATGGATGGAGTCACTGATATTTCCAGTTATTTCCAGTTACTGATAAATATTTGCCGTTCAGCTTGCTGAGACTTGCTAAGAAATTTTCAAGACTTGGAATGCCTTTATCCAAGTGGATTTGGGGTTGTAGTTGGGAACGGTACATGAGTATTTCTTTAGATGTAGCTGATGTGTGTGGTATGGATGAGAGGGAATGGCCTTAGTGCTCACATTCCGCTTGACTCCTTCTTCAATCTGGAAATGCTTATTCACAAAGATTGGATTATCAAATATTCGGGTCCCG